GCTTTCAATGGTCTAAGAAAGTAACTCTTGGACGACGGACATGCATTCAACTTGGCCAATTTTTGTTCAGATTTTAATCTTGCAGTTCTTATTTTGATTCTGCTTCTTGTTTCTTTATGTTAAAATAAATGCATACAATGTTTGTTGAGTTGATTTCCATGAGTGGCAGCGAAGCCCCCCCCCCCCAACCCCGAGACGTGCACGCCCTGAGGGCTCCGCGAGGCACCGGTTGTGAACCACTGAGTAAAATGATAAAAAAATTGATCGTGGGTCCTCAAATATGAAAAAAAACAACAAAAAAAACCCAAAAAACTACATCAAAGGGTGTTGTAAGAGCGGTAGTTGAGGTGGTGAGGGCCGGACATAAGATTTAGGTGTCGTCACTTGTGGAGTATCTTGTATGCAGTGGCGTGTCTTGGATTAGTGTCGCCTGAGACGGACTAATATGTTTGCCACCCCCCTCCCCATCCATTCTTTTAACCGAAAATTTCAGCCCTAAATATAAATAGAATAAAGTGACGCCCAAAGGGGACCACCATTCCACCCTCAATTACTACACAAGTGCTTGTCTCCTCTTGTCCAGTCCTCTTCCTTAATATAAAGTCTACAATTGATGTTGATTGATATATATTCCGAAATTGTCTTTCACTAGAGTGTGCAGCCATTAAACACAAGGTTCGTATGGGGATAATCGGTCAGCTAACCAAACATCACCAAAGAAACTCCGGAGCCCAGGTGAGAATATTTTAATCTTAAGTTTTCTAGACGCTCTTTAAAAAAATCTACCTACCTTCTATCGAGACCACAGCAGTTCCATCATGTTTAAGATTTTGAAAAAATAAAATAACTGTAATACTTTACTAATCACTCATAATAATAATAATAACGTTTGTTTGAAAATCATGCTTCATCCCTAAAGGCTCGAAGCACGGTACAAAGTCAATCATATTAAAAGATAAATGAAGCAATCTATATGATACCACAGTGAAATACAACTACAAGAATACCCATTCTAAGTCTTTCATCCCGTGCAACCATTAACAACGCACGCCACTATACAACTAGGAGATAAAAGCTAGCTGGAAAAGTATGTAGACAACATCACCCCAGCAGGTGTTTGCGAAATAGATGTGTTTTCAAATCTGTTTTGAAAGACTCCAGTGTCTGGCTGTTTCTGAGAGCGACAGGAAGTGTGTTCCAAATTGTTGGGCCAGCAAATGCGAAAGTGCGCCATCCGTAAGTCTCAAGGCGAACAGATGAGCGGAGTTGTCTAGTGGGTACATGAGTCGTCATGAGCGCTTTGTGATAGGACGGAGCCAGGTCATGCAAGCAGCGGTAGCACAGAGTTGTAATTTTGTACTCTATGCGAGCACGGACCGGCAGCCAATGCAACTCTCTTAGAAGTGTTTTAGCATGGTCAAATTTGATTTTTCGAAGAACAATGCGAGCTGCATTATTCTGTGCTTTTTTTAATTTTATCCAGGAGAGTAGCTGGAAGACCCACCACGAGAGTATTGCAGTAATCCATGCGTGATAACAATAAATTACCAAATACTAGGTACTCTATATCAATATCAGCCGCCAAAAATTGCGCTGAGCGGAGAAATCTTTTTTTGAATACTCGCCAAATCACAGAGAAAATAAGCCACTTTACACGTGGGTTCAGAAGCCGGTGGTCTAGAGAGTACAGATGTAGTTTTTTAAAGGGATATAATTATGTAAGTTGTGAAAATAATTAAATTTTAAAAAAAAAAAGTTGATTTTAAATTTTGAATTGCGCTTTTTTAGATAATAAAATTAAAATTCTCTAAAATTCTATTTTTGTGTGACAAAATTCTAGTTAACTATAATTTGTATTTACCCTCTCTCTATTACTTTCAAAATTATTAACTTTAGGTTTCCTTTGAGATAATTTAAATGTTAAATTTCTAACTCATTAAGTTACTTTTTTTAAAATTATTTTTTTTTTATTTAAATCAACGAAAATTGAACTTGTTCAGATTTAGTCCAATTGTACTTCTGTTCATTATTGTAGGCAGAATTTTTTTAACATTTACGTCTATGTGATAAACCTGCGGGGAAAAAAAAGTAGTTTGTTTTATGTTGGACTGGATGTGTGTGCTGGAGATTTGAATGTTCCAACATATTTATTTAAGAATGCAGCGCTTTTTAGAACTGCCTAAATTCATAGCTTTATTAAGATTGGCGATTAAGAATTCAAATGGGAGGTTCTGGGCTGTGAAGCCAAGCGCTATTTAGAGGCAAATCGCTAAATTTTATTTAATATCAATTTAAAATTCAATTTAATTTTCGATCATATTATTAGGTTTTTTAAAAAAAAAATAATCCAAGTGTTACAATAATGTAGTGCGACTTTAAGACTTGATATAATGTGTCTTATTTAAAAAGGAAGAGAGGAAAAAACTTTCTGTCAGCTCAAAATTACGAAAAAAAACCAGGTAACCGATATTAGCTTCGTTATTATTCTCATTTTATTGTTTTCATTCGTTTCTTTCCCCATCTCTAATAGAAATCAACAACATAACAAACAACACTATAAGCAACATAACAAACAACAAATCAAACAAACAACATAATAAGCTACATAACAAACAACACTATAACAACATAACAAACAAACAACATAATAAGCTACATAACAAACAACTAAACAAACAACATAACAAACAACATAACAAACAAACAACATAATAAGCTACATAACAAACAACTAAATAAACAACATAACAAACAACATAACAAACAACATAACAAACAACATAACAAACAACCACCGTAAAATAAACATTGTGCACGTTGATGTAATGACTTGACGTAGAAGCCATAAGCGCACTTAGGGGTCGTTTGCAAATTACGTCACGCAAAAATTGACCTTTTCAGTCCCCCCCTCCTTCCCCCACCCCTGGTCACACAGTGTCACAAAATTCTTTAACACCCCTCCCCCACCCCCCCCCCCCCCCGACCCTTTTATTGTCACGTCACAACTAAAATTTATTGTTAGAAAACTGTGGCGTAAAACAATGAAGTCATCCACGAGACGAATGTACAATGGCCACAACAGTTTTTGCGTCATTTTTGATATGCGTAGAAGGTGTGAGCGATTGAGTGTCACTTTTACTTAATAACTGGGGCAATTTCGACCTCAAATTATTGTTTTTTTTAAAATTAATTGAATAAAGATTTTTAAAAATTGTGTAATTAATTTTTGTGACGTCACAAATGTGTAAACCCTCTCCCACCCCCCTCCCCCCTTGTCACAAAATGTCACAAATTCGACCCGCCCGCCCGGGCGTGACGAAATTTGTGAACGACCCGTGACAATGCACTGAATGGTGGGAGGGGGGGGGGTTCATGACCCAGGCATCAAAGACAACGACACGCATAATCTCGTGAGGTTGTAGATAAGCGCGCTGGTGTAGTTTGCCAAGGGAAGACGAGCATGCTCGTGTAGTTTTCCAGGGGGAGATAAGCGCGTTGGTGTAGTTTGCCAGGGGGAGATAAGCTCGCAGGGGTAGTTTGACTTATTGTTTTTTAATGTAAAACAACAGAAACGTTATCGATCTTTTCTAGACTGGCAAAAAAAATAATATTTTTTTAAATTCAAAAAATATTAACAGGAAGGTGGACTTTTCAAGTATATCCACACCCCTGCCCACTCCCAATCACTCTCTCTCTCTCTCTCTCTCTCTCTCTCTTAATCTATCTATCTAGCTATCAATCTTTCTTTGCCCCCCCCCCTCTCTCTCATACACAGGGAGGCACACAGATTCAAAATGTAATTTTAGTCGTAATCTCACTTAATGTTTCATTAAAAAAACATGGCTTTCTTTGTTATGTAGGTGGTTCCTTTACCATCTCCGCTCCACGTTGTATACACCATTGAAGAAAGCTGCGTCCACATCCATGATCTGACTAAAGGGAAACTATGGTGGCTCTTTGTTGATTAAAATTCGGCGGTGAGAGATCTGGTCAACTAGGTAATATTCGGAGATTGTCTTTTACAACTTCTCTATTTTACTTAAAACGTATTTATATATATATATATATATTTAAAAAAGAGAATATAACGTTGTTTAGAGTAACAATTTCAAAAACCTTTGTGATGAAAAGTATGTTCCTGTCACTATAACGTATGTTGAAGATAACAGGACTATTCTAGAGTTAATAAATCATGGACAGTACATTATTATTATTTTTTTTATTAAACATGAAAATCCGTTTCAATAATGAACGGTAAGGGATTTCTAAATAATAAATAAATAAAATATATACGTGTATCCATTCAATTTTTCATATTTTGTACAATAAATAAATAAATCATAAAGATTTATTCATATCATTTTTCATATTTTCTAAATAGATAAAAATAAATAAATAACAAAGTAAAATTAACTATAATAGCTTATTAATAAAAATTAATGTTTGGACTTATTTAATTGCAAAAACTTGATTTAGTAGCTCAACTGGTATGACGGAATGTCTACAGTACGTGTATTTGACTTTCTGGTTAAATCAATCACAATTCGGCATCACTTTATTCTAGATGTTTTGTGAAATACTTCAGGATTCTGATCTCCCCCCCCCCCTCTCCTGTTCGTATATTTTCAGCAATCGTTACCTCGACACATCATCCCAAATTCAAAGGCTAACAAAAAAAAAAAAAGAAAAAAAAAAAGAACATATATGGTTATTTAATATATAGCTTTTTTTAAAAATGACTGCACGTTCCGTCGTTTCCTTGAGTGCTGAAAAAGTGGAGGCCCCCGTTTCAAAAGCTGAAGTGTCCCTGGCTGACGGTGGTGTGTCCACTACGGACGGCGGTGTGTTCACTACGGGTGGCGGTGTGTCTATTACGGGTGGCGGTGTGTCCACTACGGGTGGCGGTGTGTCCACTAAAGGTGGCGGTATGTCCACCACGGGTGGAGGTGTGTCCACCAGGGGTGGCGGTGTGCCCACTACGGGTGGCGGTGCGTCCACTACGGGTGGCGGTGTGCCCACTACGGGTGGCGGTGTGTCCACTACGGGTGGCGGTGTGTCCACTACGGGTGGCGGTGTGTCCACTACGGGTGGCTTTGTGATCACTGCTGATGAAGATGTGTCCACCGCTGGCAGCGGCGTGTCCACTACTGACAGTGAACGGGCGTCAGATCCAACACCAGGAACTTGTACTAATCAGCCTCATAATTTCATGTCCAAAGAGTTCAGCTGTCTAAAATTTAAAGGAAACCACGGAGAGTCAGACTTAAAACTGCAACAATTTACCAGACAAGACTTGGAACCTGACAATAAACCATTTTTAACATGTCGTGCAAGAGAGCTAACTATTCCACACACCTTCCGGAACAGAAGGGAAATTCTGGATCAAGGTTACTACCTAAAAGGTTATAACGATTTTTAAAATAAGATATATTTTACATTTACAAAGTCTTCTCAGATGACTTCTAGAATTTCATATAATTATTATTTTCTTGGCTTGCCACTTTTACATGCATTTATTCGAGTTAGCCATTGAAATAGTCATTCACTTTATGGGTTTAAAAAAAAATGTTTAAGGATATAATCGTTGTCCAATTTAGATAGTTTTATTGCTTTTCATAATCACAATTGAGATATTTTCTGAACTAAAAATATAAAATTTAATTTTTTTTTTTGTTGTTGTTGAAACAACAACATTTAAAATAAAAACTTGAGGACCTCCATCTCTCACACACGGTGACTGTTTTTTTAGGTTTGATAAATTGACACACGAAACCACAAACATCTTACCTAGTCGTCTCACCATGTATTTTGATACATGAAACTACAAACATCTTACCTAGTCGTCTCACCATGTATTTTGATACATGAAACTACAAACATCTTACCTAGTCGTCTCACCATGTATTTTGACACATGAAACTACCAACATCTTACCCAGTCGTCTCACCATGTATTTTGACACATGAAACTACCAACATCTTACCTAGTCGTCTCACCATGTATTTTGATACATGAAACTACCAACATCTTACCTAGTCGTCTCACCATGTATTTTGATACATGAAACTACAAACATCTTACCTAGTCGTCTCACCATGTATTTTGACACACGAAACCACAAACATCTTACCTAGTCGTCTCACCATGTATTTTGATACATGAAACTACAAACATCTTACCCAGTCGTCTCACCATGTATTTTGATACATGAAACTACAAACATCTTACCTAGTCGTCTCACAGAGTATTTTGATACATGAAACTACCAACATCTTACCCAGTCGTCTCACCATGTATTTTGACACATGAAACTACAAACATCTTACCTAGTCGTCTCACCATGTATTTTGATACATGAAACTACAAACATCTTACCTAGTCGTCTCACCATGTATTTTGACACATGAAACTACAAACATCTTACCCAGTCGTCTCACCATGTATTTTGATACATGAAACTACCAACATCTTACCCAGTCGTCTCACCATGTATTTTGACACATGAAACTACAAACATCTTACCCATTCGTCTCACAATGTATTTTGATACATGAAACTACCAACATCTTACCCAGTCGTCTCACCTTTAGATCAGCCAATTGACAGACATAATCTGATCCTCTCCATCCGTCCAGCGGATAGTCATCAGTATAAATAAATAATAAAAAATAAATATTTATATAGAGCGACAATGTGACTGTAGCCGGATAAAAATCCAACATAGATTATTTAGAATGTGTATGCTATACGGCTGTTATTAAATAAATTATTTATTTGAGCCATATCTTTTTCGTTTTTTAAAACTTATTTTATTTTAAATGAAAATTGATTTACTGTTCTCTCCAGATAATGTGACTGTGTTCGCTTGACTTAATTTTTTTTTTACTTAATGTTGTTTATTGATATACAGATACAATTCTCCTTTGCTGCTACTCATGTAACGCACACATTTCAAAGAGTGCGAACTCAACACGGTTACGAGAGGGTCACTTGGAACATTGTCTTCACCGTCATGTAAAAAAGTTGGACAAAACTCCCGAGGTAATGTAATTGTAGAGGTTTTTACATATTAAGATTTTTGTTAAATTAGCAATTAATAGAAAACCAATCGATTATAATAAGTCTAGAGGAAGATTGGTTATATCTATAATTTATCTTTCACGTCATTAACTTGGAGAATAAACAGCGAGCGTCACGCAGAAAGTACAGGCCTTCATAAAAACTTACCCTAGAAAGATCCTGAACATCAAATGGCCAAACACCATCACCAACAAAGACTTACTGGAAAGGACATACCAGGAGCCCCATTGCTGAAGACATGATGAGGAAAAGATGGAGGTGGACAGGAAACATTCTTCTTAAGCCCCTAGATAACATCACCAGACATTCCCTAACATGGAATCCACAGGGAAAAAGAAAGAGAGGAGGGTCAAAGATTACATGGAAACGTGAGCTGGAGGCTGACACACAAAGTATGGGATACACATGAAAGCAAATGGAAAAGAAATGACGGGGCCGAGATGAATGGAAAAATTCTTGTAGGCGGCCTATGTCCCAGAAGGGTAAAAAGCATACATAATTAAGTTTCAAATCATAATCTTTAATCTTGTTTTAATATTGTGGTTTTGTTTTATTTCTCAATAGGATGTTTTCGTGAACGAAAATCCAGCAGGTAAATACAAATGTTTGTCAATAATTTTTAATCATTTGTAGCAAGCAACTTAAACATCAGTTTGTTTCGTAAAAAGAAGGCTGTAATATTCGGATGTAGCGTAAGAATAAAAAAAAAAATGAAAATTATGAATTACTATTTTTAAAAACCTGTTACAAGAAATAGCATTCTAACCTTATTTTAGCTAATATTAAAGTAAACGTTGGGGAGCTGCGAGATAATTTTGTTGACCTTTCGGTAAATATAATTCAAAATAAAAATGTAATATACAACTTTGTAATGTTATTCAACCTGTTATTGTTACTGTGTAATACAATGTTAGGCAGGACATTTCATTTTATAACCTGAACTCTTTGTATATTTTTAGACATTTTTCTTGTTCTTCGAATTTTTCTTCGCTTTTTATTTTTCTTCTATTATTTAATTTTTTTCAACACGCTAACAAGACTAAATCGTAATCTAGTATTATCAGGAGGTTTTTTTTTTTGGGTGGGGGGGGGGGGGGTGGGGTGTTGCACATGGCGAACGCGACGCTACGGGAGCCCATGGCTAGAAATATGATACGGATGTTAATTTTCATAATGTTGTCCTTTCACTCTTTGTAGACAACGAAGCTTGCGTCTTCTGTAGAGTGAAACTTAAGAAAGTCCTGCTTCCTTGTAGCCATCTCATTTGTTGCATTGACTGCTTACTTCAAGAGCTTCACAGCGGACCATCTGGAGCTACGGGACCTTCTGAACCGCGCAATGAGGGCATAAAATGTCCATATTGTGGGACATATTGCTCCCAGTATTCAGTGATTCAATGGGAATGAAACAGATTGAAAAAAAAATGATAAAAAAAAAATATCACTGGGTTTGAAGTAAACAAATGTTTTAAGTTTTGTAATAATCTCATTGTATCTGTTAAGTTTATTTATCATCCAGTTGGTCTTCTTGTGTTCTGTTCTATGGCTGCTACCATTTTTGCCTCCATTCTCTCCTGAACATGTGAGCCTAGGCTGCCGTTGTCCAGCTAATGTAGGCCTATATTGTATCTAGTTTTACTTTTCTCTAGCTTAAGAGGCTGACCGAATATCGGTTTTGGTGTCGAAAGTTGCCATATGACCAGTTTCGGGGTAGTTTCGGTTTCGGCCGAAACAGAAAAAGTTAACGTTCGGCTGATTTTCTGTTTCTACCGAAAGTGATTTAGACTTTCGGTCGTCTGTCAGAATAGTAGGGGGAAGCAAAGTTAGAATAATATATTTTTTTTATTCTTATCTAGGTGTTAGGGTAGTTTACGCTTTACGGTTTATTTATTAGTTTTAAGCTGATTCTTCTGAAAACGAAATTTAAATAACTAAATACAAAAATCAAAATGGCATTACTGCTTATAATATCAAGACAATGAAAGACTTATTAAAATTTTATTTCTAAGGTGAACACATATTTGGTACGCACTTTGTCTTGTATATACACAATGCGTTTCAATTTTATGCAACGAACACTTGTGAAAATAAGGAAAATTCAGATTTTTATTTCCTTAAATTGAAACAAAAATATTTTTAAAAATCTTGACATGAAATAAATAAAATAAAAATTGCCTCCAAAAAATATATATTTTTTTAAATTGGAGGAACGAAACTTGTTTGTTATCAGTAACGAAAATCTCCATTTTCTGTCTAATTTATTTCAACGTTAACCACGACCGGTTGTGCCTTCTTGGGACTGAAACTGCTCAAACCATTTAGAGTTGTGCAATGTGCATCTGTCGCTCCCTAGGGAGTACACGAGTTATGCTGTTATTATTTTGGTGTGCAATGACCACTCTGGAACACCATATGTTGTCGCAGGTGGCAAACGGGTAAAATCATTCATCACAACCTCATATATACATAGATGTAGAATAAATTTTAGGATAAGTTATTGTACACATTTTATATAAAATATGTTCGGTTTAGAAATATGCACTCAAAAGAAAATGATCTACATCATTTATCAATCAATGTTGTACATTTTGTACTGTACTTTTGTTATAATGTTAATTTTTATTTTGATGTTATTAATTCATTGTTTTACTTAAATCAACAGATTGAATATATATTTATTTACTCATTAAATTCGCGGAAAAAAAATCTAATTAGTCCCATAAGGAAGTCCGGGAGTTCAATGTCCTCTATGGGAATTCAGCGTCCTATCTGGGAGTTCGATGCCCCATATCTGGGAGTTCGATGTCCTATATAGGAGTTAAATGTCCTACGTACAATCACAGGGTCGAAATTCTAATCCAATGAGTATTAGGTCACGTGCATGAAATGCAATTCCTAAAATAATGAGATAGTCCTGTATTCGCAGTCAGTCATATCTACGATAATTTTAACCTTAAAAATCTATTTTTAGGCATGCGGCTCAAGCAAGAAAATTTTTCTGCTTTAAAATGTATGAGAAATGTCTCAGTTTTTTTTTGTTTTTTTTGCTTCAAGAGGATTTGATTAATCTCAATATGAAAAACATTTCAATAATAAATCTTTTAATTGATTTAAGGGTAATGTGGTCACCTATAAAAGAGGGACTAGACACATTCTGTTTGCTCATGCAAACTGTATAAAATTTAATAAGGCAGATATCATTTTATCAATTGGCTGCTACATCCATTAAAATGATTAAATATATCCATAAAATATCACACGCTTTATATTATTGAAGATCGTAAACCGATATTTGACCAGTAGCAGTTATTATTATTATTATTTTTTAAAATAAACACAGACAAACATGTCTCAACCCCATTTTAATTGATCATAATTCGTCTGTGTTAAATGTGGTTTATTTATTCCATGATTTACAGGGCATCTAACTGTGGCTTTAAATATTGACAAAAATTAGATGCAAATATTTACAATCCCCTTTTGACAAATTGACCAATGGGTGAGTTATCGGTTTTGCTGTTTTAAAGCGATTATTTTGATTTTCGATAAATATATTATAATATTTTATGTTCGTAATTTCCAGTTGTATTCAGTCTCACATACATAATGTAAAGTGGCTGTATAGATTATTCACTTATATGCTTGAATCTAATTTTGTTGATGGGGATGGTTTGCCAAGTTCCCAGAAAAGACCACCAACTTAATGCCATAAGTCACTGCGAGTTGAAGGCAGTCGCAAAAATTCAGTCTGTAAATCAACTGGGAAAATTTTAAAAGCTTATAACACTATTTTATAAACTCCTGGAGGGTAAGAAAGACTATAAGTGTAAGACCCAGACTGAGCAATCCAAAGATGGAGTCCCCACATGCGATCTGGACTTTGACTTCAGTGCCATTTTGGTAACTCTGGCAACGCCGCTAGCGTCACGTTGTATCGAAGTCATGGGTTCACCAGCTGCGTGGGGGACGTGGGGGATATGCTGCCTTGGGCAACAGTTGATCTCCATAAAACATCTGCGAGGAAATTTAGCTTTTCCTTGAGAGGTCACTCGAGCTCCACCGTGTAGGGTGTCAATAGAAACAAAGATGAAACCAAACCAGCCACCGTCTCAAGAAGACGTGTCGCACGCCGACATTAGAAAAGGAAGAGAATAGAGAGGGGAAGGAGGTCCTAAAACAGTCGAGTGAGCTCGATCCAATTTTGACCTATGAAAAAGTATCTTCTAATTTCTATGAAAATATCATTTTTAAAGATCTGGTAATTGTATCAATGAATGTATTTTTTTTCTTATTTCGGTTAGTTTACCTTTACGTCAAGTAGACAAACAGAAAGAGTAAAGTTTTGTTCACATAAAATGTTAATAAAATATTTAGTAAATTATTTTTTTTTTTTATAAATCTATAGACTGGTAATTTTGAATTATGATATTATGCTCATTTTCTTTCCAAATCTTTTTTTTTAAAATAAATCTATAGACTGGTAATTTTGAATTATGATATTATGCTCCTTTTCTTTCCAAATCTTTTTTTTTATAAATCTATAGACTGGTAATTTTGAATTATGATATTATGCTCCTTTTCTTTCCAAATCTTTTTTTTTTTTATAAATCTATAGACTGGTAATTCTGAATTATGATATTATGCTCCTTTTCTTTCCAAATCTCTTTTTTTATAAATCTATAGACTGGTAATTTTGAATTATGATATTATGCTCCTTTTCTTTCCAAATCTCTTTTTTTATAAATCTATAGACTGGTAATTTTGAATTATGATATTATGCTCCTTTTCTTTCCAAATCTCTTTTTTTATAAATCTATAGACTGGTAATTTTGAATTATGATATTATGCTCCTTTTCTTTTCAAATCTTTTTTTTATAAATAACATTGGAGCAAAATTGTATAAATGTTATCAATTAAAAAAAATCATCTGAGGCATAATGAGTTATTTTATTATAGGTGTGGCAGATACCTCAAAATGCTCTTAAACCAACGATCTTGACTTATTTCTGCTACAAGTTCTTTGAATTCAAATTATAAAACATTTACTAAAGAGTTTTGTTGTTTCACACATGGACCCTAAGAATTTAGAACATAAGATTTTAAACAATACGAATTTAGACTATGAGAATTTAGACCATATGAATTTAGAACATAAGAATTTAGACTATAAGAATTTAGACGATAAGAATTTAGAACATAATAATTTAGACCAAACAAATTTAGACCAAAAGAATTTAGACTATAAGAACGATAAAACATTCAACAGATTAAGAAAAATTCCCCCTCCTTCCACCCTGATACACGAACCTAAAAAATATGGGGGGTTCATCAAGTTAACAATGGCCAATTTTTAAGAATACTACTTTTAGTTAGATTTGAGCAATACTAACATCTACAAATTAAATTCCAATCAAAAACAGAATGCCTATACCTTTTAAAATTAAAAATCCATAGAAAACAGTGTTTCGTGTAAATCATTAATATTTGCATTTTTGTTTGCATTTATTAAACGAACTTTGAAATAGCGATGTCCCTGACATTCGCTCCAACTCGCCCGGGAACATAATAATTTATAACACTAGCTGAACCTGCAAATAGCACAACCATTGCTTCGATCCAAAGGGTTTGAAATATATCCAGTTTTCACTGCTTATAGAAAAGTGCCGGTAAATCCCTTTGGTGCTTGGTGGGGATGGGGGAGAGGGGGAGAAGAAATAAAGGGCGCCGAAGGCTTCTGAGCCAAAACAAAGTGCGGGCAGGGGTCTGAGCTCCCTACCCCGAAACTTTTTGAAGAATTCAAAATACAAGGATTCCTTTTGGAGTAGACCTGCATTTTGCTTTAGCATTATCTACATACACTTTACTGCTTGATCAACACCGAAATGCTTTAAAATTTAATTGATCCTTGACCTGGTTGCGTTTATTCAAATCTTTTTTTTGCTTATTGTTACTAACTAGAAATGTTGATTTAGAATATTTATTTCAATTAATATAAATCAATTAAACTGTTTAATTTATTTAAACTTCTTCATTAAAAATGATTTTTTTTTGTACAGTTTCCAATTTCCAATGTGGCATAACGGTGTTTAACGTCCCAAAAAACTTACACAAACACACACACTCACACAAACATATATATATATATTACACTCCGACGGCATCGACTGAGTCATGGCACTGATTTTAATTACAATCAACCCGAGTGAGTCGTGGCTAGAGAACAATCGAAAGTGATTTTCTGATTTCGGCCGAAGCCGAAAATAGGCCGAAAGTTTAGAATGACTTTTGGCCGAAGCCGAAACCGAAAATGAGATAGTTAACTATTTTGAAATTCGTTCCCGCATACATTTTGCATAAATGGAAAATGATGGGGGAAAGTATAAATATTTACATTCTTTACATAAAAAATGAGAAAATCGTGAATATCAATAAATAATCATCTAATATAGGGGTCTCAAACTCTTAAAGATCGGTTAGTTTGTTCTTAAAGATCGCTTAGTTTGTTGTTAAAGATCGTTCAGTTTTTTTTATTAATGATCGCTTTATTTGTTCTTAAAGATCGGTTAGTCTGTTCATATAGATCGCTTAGTTTGTTTTTAAAATCATTTATTTTGTTCTTTAAGATCGCTTAGTATGGTTTTTAAAGATCGCTTAGTTTTTGTTTAAAGATTAAGAACAAAATAACATAAGATCATTTAGTTTGTTCAAAAAAGATCGCTAAGTTTTTTCTTAAAGATCGCTTAGTTTGTGTTATTAAAAGATCATTTAGTTTGTTCATAAATATCGCTTAGTCTGTTCTTAGAGATCATTGATTTTGTTCATAAATATCGCTTAGTTGTTCTTAAAGATCATTTAGTTTGTTTTTATAACCCTTTTAGTTTGTTATTAGGAATCGTTTAGTTTATTGTTAAAGATTGCTTATTTTGTTGTTGAAGATCGCTTACTTTTTTCATAAAGATCACTTAGTTTGTTCTTAAAGATAATTGATTTTGTTCCTTCAGATCGATTAGTTTGTTCTTAAAGATTAATAGTTTTTTTCTTTAGGATCATTTATATTGTTCTTAAAGACCTTTTGTTTGTTTCTAAAGAACATTTAGTTTTCTGTTAAAGATCGCTTAGTTTATTCTTATAAATCATTTTGTTTACTATTAAAGATCATTTGTTTTGTTCTTAAAGATCATTCGGTTCGTTCTAAAAAATCGTTTAGTTTGTGCTTTAAGATCGTTTAGTTTCTGCTTTAAGATCGTTTAGTTTGTTATTAAAGATCGCTTAAATTGTTCTTAAAGATCGCTTAGTTTGTTTTAAAGATCGTTTGGTTTGTTCTCAAAGATCAATTAATTTCCTCTTAAAGATCGCTTTATTCGTTTTTAAAGATCGTTTAGTTTCTTCTTAAAGATCCCTTAATTTGTTCTTAAAGATCGTCTAAGTTTTTTTGTATATATCGCTTTCGCTGAGTATTAGATGCCCGAAAACCTCAGTCACTTTCGGCCGGATGGCCGAAAGTCTAAGTCAATTTCGAACGAAACCGAAAAAAAACCCGAAAGTTAACTTTTGTCTTTCAGCCGAAACTGAAATTAAGCCGACAGTTAACTTATCAGCTACGACCGAAACCGAAACTTGGCCGAAAGTGATAAAATGGCTACTTTCGGTGCCGAAACCGAAATTCGGTCGGTCTCAAGTCGTGGAACTCTCTAATCACATCGAACCTACTCTTTAATCATATTTAACCTACCCTATTATCATATTGAACCTACTCTCTAATCATATTGAAACTACTCTCTAATCAAATCGAACCTATTCTCTAATCCCACCTAACCTACTGTTTAATCACACCAAACCTACTCTCTAATCAAACCAAACCTATTCTCTAGTCCCACCAAACCTACTCTCCAATCACATCGAACCTACTCTCAAATTCCACCGAAACTTCTCTCTAAGCCCACCAAACATTCTCTCTAATCACATCAAACCTACTCTCTATCAATCCCACCGAAAATACTCTCTAATCATATTGAACATACCCTCATCATATTGAATCTACGTTCTTTTCCCACCGAACCAAATATCCAATCATATTGAACCTATTCTCAAATCCCACCTAACCCACTGTTTAATATCAAACCTACTCTCTAATCACACCAAACCAACTCTATAGTCCCACCGAACCTACTCTATAATCACACAAAACCTACTCTCTAATCCCCCTGAACCTACTCTGAAATTCCACCAAACCTACTCTCTAGTCCCACCGAACCTACTCTCTAATCACACCAAACCTACTCTCTATTCCCACTGAACCTACTCTCTAATCACAACAAACGTACTCTCTAGTCCTACCGAACCTACTCTTTAGTCCCACTGAACCTATTCTCTAGTCTATCCGAACCTACTCTCTAGTCCCACCGAACCTACTCTCTAATCACATCGAACATATTCTCTTATCCACCCAAACCTACTCTCTAATCCCAACGGACCTACCCTCTAATTCCACCGAACCTACTCTCTAATCACATCAAACCTACGCTATAATCCAAACGAACCTACATTCTAATCTCACTTAACCTACTCTATAATCATACCCGCCCTACTACCTAAATAAACACCAACCTTCCCCCTCCCTAGAGCCAACGCCCTTAACTGGTTCTATCCAGGAAGGCAATTTCACTGAACTACGTTAAGCTAACGGTGACTATTTTTAAAGAAACAAAAATTTCCGATTATTACGTGTTTAAACACTTTTGTTTTAACATCTCTTTGTCGTCGAGGGTGGCAAGGTAGTAACAGGGTCTCGAAAAGCGTGTTATATTTTTAAAAAAAAATAGATAAAGGTGAGTTTATTTTCGCGATAATTTAAATCACATCTGACGAGATAATCGAAATTTTCAGAATATATTTTATATATTTTATATATATATATATTTTAAAAAGCCCTTCACAATTTAAAGAAAACAATTTATCAAATCATCTAAATATTTAAGCTGCCTTTTATAAACTAAAATAAAAATTGTATGAATTGTTAAATAAACTCCACCAAAGAGAAAAGTGAACATCTTCCATTTCCACTACAATCCGACACACTAAAACCTTGACGTGTGTGCTCCTATCGAATGAAGCGAGGTACGTGAAACAACAACACTGGAAATCTGACATTAATCTTTTGATGGTTGAAAAGATTAATGTAGTATCCAGCTAATTTCCAGGCATCATATAAAACAGGTAAAAAAAAAAACAACAACATTTATTGATTTATGTTTAAAATGGTGTACGATCGATGTAGACATCTTGGGAACCAATTATTTAGCACCACCTCACTTTTGTTTTCGCCGTTCTAATCATAACACTGACGTTTTGACTTTTCCTATATTATATTTTAATACACAACCTCTGTTATTTCGTTTCAAATAAAATTTGTTGCTCACAAAGCAAATTGAAAATAATTGTTTTTTTCATATGTGATACTTAAAAATCTTAACTGAAAAAAAGGGTAATGTATCCCCCCCCACCGTTTAATACAGCTATTCACTTTCGTCAGTTTATTGACCCACTGCATTTGTATTAGGTTTCTATTTTTTTTTTTTAATTCACACTACTCAGTTTTATTTGTACACTTGTAACAGTTGAATGATTAAAAATAAAAAGATAATTGAAAGAAAATGTACGTCTCTAGACCAAGGGAAGGGCCACTTTACATCGCAGTATTTAGAAAAAAAAAGAAGAAAATACATTTCACAATTTAAGGAACGAAAACAACGGTTTTAGATGGTTTTCATTTATCCCATAGTGTTATTTCATTATTTATTAATTTATTTGGGGAAAATGTCCTTCTTCAAAATGAACAAATTTGTGGGGAAAAAAAAATTCAGTGGTGTTGTTCTTTCCCCAATCCTAAATNAAAAAAAAAAAAACAAAAAAAAAAACGAACAACCCCTGACATCCACATTATTTCATCTCATTCGGTTAGCTGACATATGAACGCTTGCAATAGTGCACGACAAAGTTCAAATAATTGTTTTTTTTTAAATACTCTTGAAACAAACTGTATGACGAAGTTATTTCTTCCATAGAAAAAAAAAATGTCACAAATCTATTGATAAACAAAATTAATTAAAAAAAAAAAATATGTCGATGCATAAAAACTTTAAAAAAAATATACGTTCTGTTTCGTATCCGGAAATTTGATCAAAAAAAATTTCGTCGATGGTAATTTGATCGAACGGAAATTTCGTAGAATCTTTTTTTTTCCCTCAGTTTTTACGTAAAAATTTTGCTTTAAATTTCATTTTGAAATGTGACGAAAATATTAACGTGTGAACTGAAAAAAAAAATTTAAAAAAAAATAATAAAAAAAATGATTCGATCAACTTTCCGTTCGATCAAATTACCGTCGACGAAATGTCTTTCGATCAAATTTCAGTTAACCTTTATGTTTCTATAGCTATTTTTTTAAAACAATATTTTAATTTTGATAAACTTTTACATCAGTTTTATTTTGCTATCTCAACACTGCAATGATCAGTTCGGCCACACTCTCTTCTTGTGTAATTTGTTTCTGTTACTGCTACTTACACGTACTGCCTCATTATAGTCCATGACCACATTCTTGCCAAGCAGTGTCAGTGGTAGATTTCGTGTGTATACCACCAACAGTTCGGTCCCTATGACAATTCATGTGCGTAAGATAGATTTTTATTCATTTACTTCAGGGGTTTCTGAGTATCGTAAATGTTCCAGTTTTCGGTTTCGATTTCAAAGAAAGGCTTGTCTTTCTTTAGTTTTAGTTTCACTATTCAAGGAAGTCAACGGTTCAAAAGTGGAACTGTTGTTCCAGGAAACTCTTCAGAGTGCATGACCATGACTCATGTCTTCAGTGGGGGTTTTGCTTTTATAAAAATTTTGTAAAAACCTAACCCCTTTTACAGCAACTGTAGGAGGCCTTGAAGGCGCAGTTGGGATTTTATTCCAGTGTTGTCTAACTTTAAAATGTAAGTTTTGCTTTGTTTTAAAAGAAAAATTCATATATATATATATTTTAATATTTATTTATAACAATTTGAACTTTGGACTAGTTAAATATGTATAGCCCGCTATATAAGTAAGTAGTCTAGGGATTTCCTTAAACACAGCTTCGTTACGTGAAGGTTTGGGTTGCGTGTAGAAATAGCCGTTGAACGGTTTACTCTGAACTCTTAACTTGATTGGAGGCTTTAGACCAGCCTGTGGGTCGCGACCCCTTTGGGAGTCGAACGACCCTTTCACAGGGGTCGCCTGAGATCATCGGAAAACACATGTACTCTGCAATTATGAAGTAGTAACGAAAATAATTTTGTGGTTTGGGGTCACCACAACATGAAGGTTGGGAACCACTGCATTAGATAATTATGTACCAAGTACAGGCCCAAGTGACATCGGGAATGCAGTGTCAACCCAGCACTTGTCATAACATTTGCAAAATCCTCGAATAAAATGGTTACATTCGTGTTCCATAGTGTTTCACGGACAAACTCATATTTATCGTGATACTTAATTTGTAACATAACTTACATGGGATGGATTTTATTTACATTTTCAATTTGACGGACGCCATTTTGCTATTCTGAAATATAGTACAGCTCCCCTTACATAAGTAAGCAGTCTAGTGATTTCCTTAACCCAGTTAAATATAGTATAGCCAGCTAGTTTTTTGAATTACATTAGATAGAAATGATAAGTTAGATACAGGTCTATAACTCACATAATAAATGGAAGCTTGTCTTCTGGCACTGTCCCCCCCCCCCCACCCTTTGCCAATCAGCTGTCATCAAACCATTGCTTAAGAAGCCCGGTCTGGATGTACAGGTCTATAACTCACATAATAAATGAAAGCTTGTCTTCTGGCACTGTCCCCCCCCCCCACCCTTTGCCAATCAGCTGTCATCAAACCATTGCTTAAGAAGCCCGGTCTGGATGAAAATAATTAATAAAATTATAGACCTGTATCTTACTTAGCATTTTTATCTAAATTGATTGAAAAACTAGTTCTAAAACAACTTTTTGCTTGTTTAATTGAACACTCTTTTCAGTTTTAATCAGTCGGTCCATAGACATTTCCACAGCACATAGACATCTCTCTTGAGAATCAGTAATTACCTCTTGCGCGCAATGGACAGCGGAAATGTCTCCATCCTGATCCTCTTAGACCTCAGTGCGGTCTTTGACATTGTTGACCATGAAATTCTTTTCAAAACCATTGAAAATTACTTTGGAATTTCTGGTTCAGTTTTGGCTTAGTTAAATCCTACCTCTCGGATAGAACGCAGGCGGTCTCTGTCGATGGCTATCTCTCCGGCACTGCTGATTTGGTGTACGGAGTGCCACAGGGGTCCGTTTTGGGCCGGTTCTATTCACATTGTATACCAGACCACTGCTCCTCTTGCTTGGGAGGCATGCTGTTGAGAGCCAGTCATTTGTAGATGACACGCAGCTATACAAGCACCTACCCATCCCTCTCTAGTCGATTCCGCTGTCCAGACCTTGCGGGCGTGCATTGATGATGTCAAGTCATGGATGACACTCAGCAAATTAAAGCTTAATGATGACAAAACGGAAGCACTCCTCATTCACAATCACACATCATCCTCTACCTCAACTCTTCCCACCTCATTTCAACTAGGTAACTCCAACATACAGTTTACACCCTCTGCTAGGAATCTTGGTTATATTCTTTTTTAAAAAATGTCTCTCGATAAACATATCTCTCACATTGGTCGTTCAGCATACACCACTATCCGTCAGATCAGCTCCATCCGCCACTACCTCACAGTTAGCGCTACAAAAACTCTAGTCTGTGCTCTTGTTCTCTCTCGTCTTGACTATTGCAACTCTCTTCTGTCAGGTTCACCAAAACACTGCATATAAAAATTGCAGAAAGTTGAAAACTCAGCTCCTAGGTTAGTTCTAAAGGCAAAAAAACGTGATCACGTCACTCCACTACTCCATTCCCTTCACTGGCTCCCTATACAGGCACGCAATGACTACAAGCTGTCTGTTCTCTGTCACAAATTTTTCTCGGATTCCTGCCCTTCCTATCTAACCGAACTTCTTTCTGTCTATTCACCAATTCGACAGCTTCGCTCCTCCGCAGACACGCTTATTCTGTCCGTTTCCAAGACACACAATAAAACATATGGTGAACGATCTTTCTCTTTCTGCACCCCCAAACAATGGAATTCTTTGCCACTATACATCCGCAATATACCAACCACCATGGCCTTCAAAACTGCACTCAAAACACATCTCTTTAAACTATACTACCCTGACTGATTCCCCTCCTCTGACCGATAAAAGATCCTGGTGGCTGCCGTCCAAGGTTTGCCATGTAAAAGTTCTGGGGTGGGGTGGGTGAATATACATTTGTTTGTGTTGTTTTGTTTACTCGCTGTTCTTTATTTCATAAATTTATTTTATTTTAATGTCATGATTATGTCTCTTTTTTATAATATTTTTATGTACAGCACGGTGAGCCCAACCCTAGGCTGGGGTAACGCGCTATATAAGACCACTTATTATTATTATATAAGTAGGTAGTCTAGTGATTTCCTATAACCCAGTTAAATATAGTACAGCCCGCAATATAAGTGGTCTAGTGCTTTCCTTTACACAGTTAATGCTTCAACCATGCTGTAATATGTAGATTTGGTCCTAGAGTTCTATTATTTATAATTCAGTGCGTGGCACACTTCCTTATATGTTTAATATGCGCATAATCTATTTAAGTAAATTAAAAACATATCAGTTTTACAAATGTATGAGAGAAAAACACAGTTTTTTTTAAAGAACTAGCTTCGACGTCCATCGTTTATATCAAAATCCCGTGACACATCTGTGAGTCTACACAATGTGTCACGACACAACAGTTAAATTTTTTTTTAAAGCGAGCCTTGATAAGCTATTATGATATAAATGATAAGAACACTTTGGGGCCGTTTATAAAGTAGGTCACTCTAACGCAGGCCTTTAGGGTGTGCGACCTGTGCCCTCGCAAATGGCACCGTGGCCATAGGGGCGTCTTGGGCGCCCAGTAAATATTTAAATTCCCTTAGTTTATTATAGTGAAGTGTGAACCTAGGGTCTGGGATCGAGAAAGGGTATTCTAACTTTTCGTGCAATGGGTTTTCATTCAATGAAAGTTGCATTCTTAATTTGGATACTAACACTGGAGTTGGGACCAACCGAACGGGCGTGGAAATAAGTTTATTAATACCGTATTTCCTTGTCCCTCTTACAATTATTTCAGCAGAAGGAATATGGGGAGCAAAAAGCTTTCCGGTGCGCAAAATCGCAAGCGCAAAGCAAATAAAGTACGCCGCAATCGGAAAAAGAGGGAGCCGTACAAGGACAGGGAAAGGGGCAAAAGTTTACTTAAGGCTGGCATTGGTCACGTTCCTGGTGGTGGAAGGGGGTCTAAGAAAGTGGGTCCGTTTTTGATCCGGGTGTGGGGTGGGGCGCCGGGTTAAAATATCATATGTGACGTCACACATTTTTTTTTATCATGCATATCAATTCTTTTAATTGATATTGATGTTTAGCTTTCTGTTGTTGTAGTATAATAATATATAAGCACTCAAGGCTGTGGTTAGTGTAGCCACTAACTCTTTTCTCCAACCAACATTCTTTCTATACACCACATCACGGCGATGACCCCTCGCTCCCGTCATCCAGCCAATATTCACACATTTAAGCTTAGGCATTCGTCAAAACAACTCACCACGTCCGGTCAGTCAACAATCGGGTCACTGTGGGTCACTCACTTCACTCAGCACTCTTGAGAACAATACTGGTCACTTGATTGGTCACTCTTACTGTCCCAATGGATATATTATGACTAAAGTGTCACTTTTATAAATTTAATAGAAGTTTAAAAGTGTAAGTGTTTTCAATTAAATTTTAATTAGTTGGTAATTTTAAGATATTTTTTAGTTCAAAGGTGTGACGAACTTGGGAAAGGGAGGGGGGGGGGGTTATCGGAAAGTCCAACATTTGTAACAGTCGGAGGGGGTAAAATAGCGAAAATAGCGTTACTCACATTACAGACTCATACGTTCTTTACAGACAGCCCCATGGTACTTTAAAGAAAGCCCCGTGAAATTAAATTTTAATTAGTTGGTAATTTTAAGATATTTTTTAGTTCAAAGGTGTGACGAACTTGGGAAAGGGAGGGGGGGGGGTTATCGGAAAGTCCAACATTTGTAACAGGCGGAGAGGGTAAAATAGCGAAAATAGCGTTACTCACATTACAGACTCATACGTTCTTTACAGACAGCCCCATGGTACTTTAAAGACAGCCCCGTGGTACTTTACAGACAGCCCCATAAGTTCGTTACAGACAGCTCCATGGTACTTAACAGACAGCCCCATGGTACTTTACAGACAGCCCCATGGTACTTTACAGACAGCCCCATACGTTCTTTACAGACAGCCCCATGGTACTTTACAGACAGCCCCATGGTACTTTACAGACAGCCAAATACGTACTTTACAGACATCCCCATGGTACTTTACAGACAGCCCATGGTACGGTACAGACAGCCCCATGGTACTTTACAGACATCCCCATGGTACTTTACAGACAACCCCATTGTACTTTACAGACAGTCCCATGGTACTTTACAGACAGCCCCATACGTACTTTACAGACAGCCCCATACGTACTTTACAGACAGCCCCATACGTACTTTACAGACAGCCCCATACGTACTTTACAGACAGCCCCATACGTACTTTACAGATTTGTGCATGCTATTAAACCCCCTTCTCCAGTAGCTTTATTGGAGTATCATCGTCTCCACGGTTAAAATATGTTCTCCGATATTTAGATCGGGAAATTGAAAATTCAAAAGCACGAGTGTTTTCAATATTTTAACGTATGATAAATAATTTTAAAAATTTCTTTGCAGTTTCGTTTCGATAAGAAGAGAAGTACTATTTCGGAAAATGGATTCGCAACTTTTTCAAAATGAGATGACACATAACGCCTTTTCATACCCTACTTCGTATATGAAACATCCATTCTATGAGTCATTAGGCTCAAGGCGCCACAGTTTTCGTAAGAACGAACTTGACGGAAGGACCGGATTCTTGGACGATTGTTTGGGACTGGCGGAACAGGGTTTCTATAAAGATGGTAAGTATTTGTTTTTATTTTCTGATCTTATGAATGCCTGGAATAGAGAATAGCTGACAACTGTCACACTATTAGGGAGTGGTTTAGGGGGGAAAAAAAGGGGGGGGGGATCCATAGAAATGCTATAAAACGATATAAGTGGAAGGGTCGGGTCACAAATGTCCTATTTTTGTGTTATATCATATGTGTACAGCCCCGTGGGTACTTTTCCCCACGGTTAAAGACATTTTAATTAACACATATGCGTTCAATGATTCACTGAATGATTGGACTTATGAATCATTTAATTATTAAACTTATGATTCACTTGAGTGATGAAACGTATGATTCACTTGAGTGATGAAACTTATGATTCATTGAGTGATGAAACTTATGATTCGTTGAGTGATGAAACTTATGATTCGTTGAGTGATGAAACTTATGATTCGTTGAGTGATGAAACTTATGATTCGTTGAGTGATGAAACTTATGATTCGTTGACTGATGAAACTTATGATTCGTTGAGTGATGAAACTTATGATTCGTTGAGTGGTGAAACTTATGATTCGTTGAGTGATGAAACGTATGATTCGTTGAGTGATGAAACTTATGATTCATTGAGTGATGAAACTTATGATTCGTTGAGTGATGAAACTTATGATTCGTTGAGTGATGAAACTTATGATTCATTGAGTGATGAAACTGATGATTCACACAATGAAGTCAGTGACTAAACTTGTGATTCACTGAATGATTAAACTTACGATTCACTGAACGATTCAATTTATTATCTGATAAGCGACCTAATCAATATTATTGCATTGGCGGTGTTGCATTTCTTGCTCTGTGTTACGTATCAGTGTGTTACTGAAATGCGCACACTTCTTTCAATGCGCGCCCCCAAGACGACTTGACGTGATTTGTGATTATCAGCGGGTCTCAATCATAAATAGAGATTAGCAGTAAAACAGGGTTATATTGAAACATTTACCTGTATGTTAATATACATTAATAATGATTATCCCTTATTGAAACTTTGCTTAACACATTTAATTGATTTTTTTTTTTTAAACGTGAATCACGGTTAAGTCTAGCACTGGAGTACATGCTTAAGTTACTGGAACTGGATTAAACATGCCTCATTCTGATGTTAATGTATTCTGAAGGCTTGTAAGCTGGGTTCCGCAATCACTGTGCTCTCGTTACACAGGAGTGCCGAGAATTAATGCTAGGGTGTGCCGAGAATAATGCTACGTGTGCCGAGAATTAATGCTAGGGTGTGTCGAGAATTAATGCTAGGGTGTGTCGAGAATTAATGCTAGGGTGTGCTGAGAATTAATGCTAGGTGTGTCGAGAATTAATGCTAGGTGTGCCGAGAATTAATGCTAGGGTGTGCCGAGAATTAATGCTAGGTGTGCCGAGAATTAATGCTAGGGTGTGCCGAGAATTAATGGAAGGTGTGCCGAGAATTAATGCTAGGTGTGCCGAGAATTAATGCTAGGTGTGCCGAGAATTAATGCTAGGGTGTGCCTAGAATTAATGGTAGGGTGTGCCGAGAATTAATGCTAGGTGTGCCGAGAATTAATGCTAGGGTGTGCCGAGAATTAATGCTAAGTGTGCCGAGAATTAATGCTAGGCGTGCCAAGAATCAATGCTAGGGTGTGCCGAGAATTAATGCTAGGTGTGCCAAGAATCAATGCTAGGTGTGCCAAGAATCAATGCTAGGTGTGCCAAGAATCAATGCTAGGTGTGCCAAGAATCAATGCTAGGTGTGAGGAGAAAAAACCTAAAACGTTGGGTTTTTTTTTAACGATTGTGGCACAACACTACCAACGCCAGAAAGGCCTTATATTGTATTTAATAATTGAAAACCAAATTGCAAAAAAACAATTATTATTTTTTTTTGTGAACCAAAATCATTTCTTTTTTATCATCACCTCCCTCGCTCCCCCCCCCTCCCCCCAACCAACACCCTCTCGCGCATATGCTTGTTTTGTATTGCTTGATAAGTGAAACAAAAACTCTAACTCTAAGTGGACGAATCTTTTTTTTTTTTTTTTATCCAGTGTCAAGAGCTTGTGTCCTTAAAAAAACAAACAAAATTAGAATTGTGCATACATTTAATACACATTGAGTAAAAGAAATTTAATCGAGCATTTTAGGTTGAAAAAAATTGATTAGCCATTTACTATCGCCCTTTCAATAAGCATATAACATCAAATCCTCTTTTTTGTCTGTAACTTTTAGCAACCCACGCGTTTATGTATAGTTATGGAAATCCCGGTGTACCATGATAGGTAAATGAAATCTACCGTCTTCCTTTCGAGCACAGTTCTATATAAACGCTTATGTTTATTCAAATATAATAAAATTTTATTTCCTTTAAATGAAAACCCAACTTATTATTTCAAATTGCGATTATTACTTCATGTGCCGAACTTTAGTTTTTAATAATCTATGCAAACTTTGAAAATTGGAAAAGCGGAGATTTTGCACAAAATGAAATAATTAGTTTTTGAAAAAATAATTAAAAATAAATAAATAAATGCCATATAACATTGCTCTCGACCCCACGCCACCCCATATAACTCAAAATAACATAATGAGTTAATGATAAATTAACCCTTACCCCCCAACGAGTTATATAATATTTGCACGGCCCCTATTTTGTAACATGTGTTCTTTTTTTTTTTAATGTAAAAACTCAACCTATGGGTCGTGACCCCTTGGGGGGGGGGGTCGATGAACGACCCTTTCAAGGGGTAGCCTAAGACCATCGGAAAACACATATACTCTACAGTTATGAAGTAGCGACGTAAATAAACTTGTGTTTGGGTGGTCGCCACAACATGAGGAACTGTATTAAAGGGTCGCGGCATTAGGAAGGTTGAGAACCACTGATGTAGACTGATGAAAAGCTAGATCTATTCCAATATCTTTTTATAGCACGACCGGATTGTAATCAGTTTCGAAAACGATAGTCGGAAATTTCCCATTGTTATTTCAATGTTACGTTTCTTTTGAAGGGCATGTAAGGGGTCTTTCGCAAATTACGTCACGCTCAGGGGAGGGGGGGGGGAAGGGGGGCGGGGTCGAGAATTTGTGACCCTTTGTGACAGAGGAGAAGGGAGGGGGTGGGTCAAAAATTTGTGACATCACTTTGTTGTTTTTTTTTAAATCTAAAATTTTCTAAGGGAGGGGGGGGGGGGGGGGGAGGGGGGGGGGGGTCGAGAATTTGTGGCCCTTTGTGACAGAGGAGAGGGGAGGGGGTGGGTCAAAAATTTGTGACATCACTTTGTTGTTTTTTTTTAAATCTAAAATTTTCTAATTTTGAACAAAAATCTTTATTTGATTAGTTTTAACATTATTAATATGAAGTCGAAATTGCCTCAGGTATTATAGGTACTATGAATGTCATTTTTCTAATAATACTACATCTTAATCCATTATGGGCAAATGTTGAAAAATAAAATAAAGTCTTAGTTTAGTTATAAAAAATGTATGTACGTTTTGAATTTTTTTTTTGGTGTGGCGTGACACACGTGAGTTAATTTACGAACGACCCCTAAGGAATAAAATGCCACTCAAAAGTAATGTAGCCCAGCTGGTAAGCAGTGTTTCTTTCAGAGAATTCGATCAGAATTGCCATTTCGAGTGTTTGTGTGGGGGGTGGCGAGGGTCAGTGGGTGGGGCGACAGTGCATTCATAAACACCTAAAGTGTCACAATGGCATTCAGCGCTAGCTTTGAATCCGGCGCCCTGCATCAAATGAATTCGTCCAGTTTCGACGCCCCGGGGGTGTTGCCTTGGGGTCCTATCTTTTTTTTTTGCCACTAAATTCTACAAAAACCTTCGTAAAGCATCTTCGTTTAAAAATGAAAGGGGAAATACTATTTCTTGTCAGATAAGACTTACTGAGTTAAGAAAATCGTCACGTTACTAACATCTGAAGGTTGCTTTGAATAGATGCAATGGTGTCACGAATGTCACTTTGATCGGGGTTAGGAGAAGTGGAAATAAAGGCTTCGACCATTCGTACCCGGGTATCAGAAGTGAGAGGTTGGGATTAAAAAAACTATTTAAAATTTTATTGCTGGGCTTGTAAGACAAAATGAGGTATGAAATGAAAGATGATTGAATGTTTGTAAACTTACTTCTTCAGTTTAACTAAACTAAGCTTTACCCCCCCCCCTCCTCCCTTTCCCAGGGCCGTCTTAACAACATAGAAGGCCCCGGGCACAGCAATGCACTGGGGCCCCCTAGCAACACAACACACCTAGGCCTTAAGAAGGGTGAGGGGGGCACTCACCCCATGCTCAAACAGTTAGGGGGAGGGGGTGTGGCAAACAGTTCCTGCTCCCCATCAACTCACCAAGAGGAATACAAATGTAAAGTAAAAACAAATATTCAATAAATTCATCGAAAAAAGTCATTCAAAATCAATAAAGGTTTTGAAACATTATCAGAATAAACTATAAATAATCACAGATGATAATGATGATAAATTATCATTATTGACGGATAGAATAAATTATTTGATATACATCAGCATAATTGTTTGCGTAATTTTTTTGCAGATAATTGGGTAGAGAATTGTTTTGTTATTGGTATAAAGTCAATGGTCTTAAGGATATCATTTTAATACATATAAGTGAGAGCCAGTTCAAACGTTTTTGTCCCATTACACTGCGAAGCTGATTCTTACCTTATTTTTGACTATTCATATCTGGAAAAAGTAGAACTTGTTCACGAGAGTTATTCCCCTTTAAAAGTTTTAAAATTGTCCAACTTTGTTTCGCATTTATAATATTAATTTTGGCATGTGCTGATGTATATCGTGGATTAAAATTTGGAATTTTAAATCCAATTAAATTGTAAAATATTTAAATACTCATTTAAAATATGTAGAGCATGATGCCTCTATAAGAGTGAGTTTCCTAGAAACGTGGGGCCCCCTAAAAGCGCGGGGCCCTTAAGACGACACTGCCCTTTCCGAAAGAAGAGCATACCTACTGGGCAAACGCGTCCAGCAGGCTATTCACCGATAGTTGGCGAAGACACGAGTTAAATCCGAACACAACATCTTTGTACGCGTGGCAGGCAATGTTAGCTTATAGTATCGCACCTCGGGACAGATCGAATACTTCACAGCTCTTGAAAAGTATTTAACCATCGTAATAACAGCATGCATCGCTTTTAAAACTTTACAAAAAAACTTTAGTATACCTGACCTCATTCTGGAAGCGTTTTGACTTTTGCGAGTGGATGAGACTTAAATCGTTTGTTAACTCCGCTGTAGGCCAGGTAAAACGTACGTTTGGATACTGACACTTAATACTTGATTGCAATCAAGTGAGAAAATCATTAATTAAATTATTTTAAATGCACTGACAAGCGTAATTAAAAAAAAACTTTAAAAAAAATAAAAAAAAAAAAAAAAAAAAAAAAAAAAAAAAAATCATTCGAGCTTTTATCAAAATCATTGTCAGTAGTTGATACAAGCTTTGAACTCCACCCTCACCCAAGAACCTCCACAACCCCCCGTCCCCATTTTTCCGAAAGAAAAAAAATTAGATATCAGACAGGCTATTCCACTCCTTATCATGTTATTTTTGTCGTATGAGAATGTTTTACTAGACAATGTCTTAGTTCAGTGCTTTCATTTTTTTTCTTCTGTCTGCACTTTTATTGATATCTTACTTTCGCAAATGAATTGAGTTTATCATAATTTTTTTAAATTTTAATTTTTTTTATTTTTCATAGTTAACAAACCAAACACATACTATTGTTTTTGTTGTGGCCTTGAACTTGCTGTGAGGAAAGCATCCTTCCTGGAGGAGGTGTGTCTATGCAATGTACACAAAATGTATAACACCACCGTCAGCTGCTGTTGTGCTTACTGGGAGATTTTTAAAATCTTCAAAACAACCGATGTTAAGGTAAGTATACAGTACCATAGTAGGAACATGTTAGTTTATAATGGTGCAATCTTTACATGTCACTGAGTTGGTTTAATGGCAAAAAAACACGCACACAAAACAAGGACAGATGAAATGAAGAATAGTATCATAATGATAAATTGATATTATTTTTTTTACGAAAGCCTTTTTGTTTTTGTTTGATGTTGTTGTAGTTCGATGTTCATTCAATGTTTAGAAAATAAAAAATTTTAAAAAAATAGTCAATACCTTTTAAGTAGGTCCTCATACCCAGTTTTTACAAAGCTTTGGCCAGTGCATAAATATATCCACACTTAAATTGTCGCGACCATCTCCCCTGAAGATTAAATGGCTATTGTAAATTAACTTTAAAAAAACCTGAAATGTCCTCTTTTTCAGATAACTGAGAAAATAAATCACGCTTCTGCACGTAAGAGTTTTTATTTAACAATATATTGTTTAATATTATTAGTGCATTAATTCGTTTGACAACATAATAAGTTATGAGTTTTTATTTAATTACGCCAACAATAAAGTTATTCTAAATTATCGACTTATTTATACCATGCAATTCTGTTAATTTGAATCATTGGTTTTATATGTGTTATAGTTTAAAGAGAGACAGAGTATGATACGCATAATATTAAAAGATATAACAGCACGTAATACAATGTTCGAATATATTTATTTATATATATATATACTTATAACAGTGTTTCCATATCTTGTTTCCATGAGTCCCGAAAGTTGATATATTCTCCATTATTCATGTTTATTAGAACGGTAGTGGAACATACCAATATAACGCCAAAATAAATTTAAAAAATGGATCAATAAATTTACGCCTAGAACAGTTTCGTAATGAGTACACTGTGAGATTTCAATTGAAACTGTCGCATCTCGCAGATCTTGGGAGAGCACTCCCGTCTTTCTTAACTCTTACCCTGCAAACGTCTCTGGCAATTAATATTTAGTGCATTTCTTATGGTTCGGTGTATATGAAACATTTCAGGTCCTAATGAAGACGAAAAACAACAGCAACACTAATTTACAAAACATTTAAAAAGCCAAACGTGCAACAACCACAACAAGAATAAAAAAAAAAAATAAATCACTGACATCGCTAGGGTTAGTGCGACCCAGGGCGGACTCCATCCCCCCCCCCCCACTACTCCGCCTTCCTATGACCGCCTTCCTATGCTTCTAAAACACTAAAATGAGTTTAAGTCACGTGTCGAACAAAATTTAAGATTTACAAAACAATTTCTGTCCATTTCGCCCCCCCCCCCCGTATTTCACAAGTTAACAGCTCTTAGAGTGCGGTTTATGGTTACTGCTCCCAGAGTACAAGGGGGCCCCCCAGACATCCCCCTCCCTCGATTTGGAAGCATAGTTATATAGTAAAACAAAAACAAACACGTACTTCCAAGGATTGCACACTTAGTGTTCTGAAATATCCCACCAGTTACTCTTTGCTACAGTAATTATAATAATAAAATTAATAATAATGATTCGTGCCAGAACCATATTGCCACTCCGATCCTCATCCCCCAAAACACGCACACATATGTTATGTATTCGAACCTGTTTTCTATTTGATGCAAGCAAACTAACACACTTTAATGCATCATTTTTGTGCTTCACCCAAATCGACAAAAGGTAGCGTACATCTTCGTTTAACAAAGTAACAAAGTATTGCACGTTTCAAATGGAAATTTTATTTTATTTTAAATGGCATTAATTATTCTGAAACACACGTTCATTTGTCTGTGTCTGATGGCTGAATCATTTCACTTAACTATTTTAAAAACAAATCGTTTCTATTCAGATGGATTACTGGGCTACGAAGGCTGTAATCCGATTGCAGTTTGGTTTAACTGTCACAACGAATTGTTAGTCACAGGCGACAAAAGTCTTTGGGACACCATCCTAAACAACCAGAGCCGTGGTGACGATGTAGACGTGAATGCTGAGCTCAACACCCAAGAAAACTCTCACGGGACTGGATTCCGAATTCGTTTGGGTGTCTTAAATCCCGAACAAAATAGCACAGCTGAATCTAGTCTCGATGAAACAGATGGTGTTAGGCCAAGTAGCGATGCCGTGGGTAGAATCGCCCGAAGCGCGAGACTCGATGCCTCTAGACTACTTCTTTGCCCATTCTGTACGCGATATTTAAGCTTTGATAGAGTGGGATAGGGAGAAAAATGCTAAAATAAGAAGATAAAACTGGAACTTGGTGTTTAAACACTGCGCCCTCGTTATCTCGACGAACAGAACGTGTCGTTTGTGTTAAGCGAATGTGTGGCCTTACTTAGGAACACTCAGCTTTCCCTTAACCGCCAACAAGGTCTTAAATAAGCGGTTAAAATTTTGTTGTTGCTATTATGAAACATTATTGTTTATGAAACTGTATTGTTTACCATATCTTTCGAGTCATCAGTGTTTACCATTTCCTTAGAATCATCAATAGTTGATGGAGGAGCTTTGCCCCCCCCCCCCCCACTGCCTTGTTTTTTTTTTAAAAAAAAAAAAATTTTTTTTTTTTTTTTTTTTT